ACATTTAACATACTTTAATTTGTATTACTTTTTGTGGAGTTCTTGGGTGCAAGAAGAAGCAAAATGTCTAAGAAGGCTTTCATTTCATTAAAAAAGTGATTTTCTTCCTTATGTTTATATACAAGAAAACAACAGCATTTGTTTGCTCTTTCTTTCACCTGACCATCATATATATTTGTCTTGTTGACAAATAAAGTTATTTCATCATTTATAAATAAATGAAATAATTCACCTTAAGAAAGGCTATCTATCAGGTACATTGATGGTTGCCATTAGCTTCCATAAAATTAGTCAGTTATGAATGATAGTAGCTGCTAGTGGTCATCATTACTTTACTCCACATAACTAGCATGGATCTTCAATCACTTCACCGTCAATATCCTCTTGAATAAAGCTTTCAAAATCATCATCGAAGTCTGAATCAAAGAAAAACTCCTAATTAAAGGCTTCATTGGATGTTGATGTGGCCATTTTTTGATTATAAAAAATTGTAAAAAAAATTAATGTGGGTTTAGTTGATGTAGAGTCTAGAAGAATTCAAAATGGCATTGGAAAACAGAAGTTAACCTTGTTCCAAACCCGTTGTAGGCAATTTCCAGCTTAAAATACTGGAAATAACAGTTGACAAGTGTTTATTTATAGCAACTGTCTCAAGGCAACAGAATGCGCCTAGAGCTTCAAAGGGGGAAGAATTCTACGGCGACAGTTTTCACCTCTAGCATGGTAAAGGTTAAGGAACTTATGAACCACTAGACAAAGTTGGACATGATTTTATAAATTGTTTTGTTATCTGGCTTGGATAGCTGTACAGTCAAATAAAAAAAAAAATGTTACAAGTTATTTCTTTCATGATTGCTGGAATTTATATAGGTGGAAGGTGGTGAATCTCAAATTTGTTTTGTTGCCACCTGACACTTGTTAAAATGAGAGGACTTTAGTTAAGATCCATCAATTTTGAGTCCCCTTCCATTGACTTGTTTCTCTGAGAAGTCATTATAGTATTAAATGTTAATATAATTTTGTGTTACCAGATTCTTTTTAATCATTTAACCCCAAGCAAGGCAATAATAGGCACTAGGAAAATTTATCTTTGCTTCACTGTAATGGCTTCCTGTTGCTTAATGGTAAAAGCATACCTGGCCTGAAGATGGGTTTTCAGATTAAAAATGGGGTTCAGGTTAAATTCCTGTTAGTAGGCATATTTTCTTTATAATCAGCTATCAATAATTTCACAGTTTAAAAATAGGTATCTACTCAAACAAGTATATCTGCTAAATAAATTTGGTGTAATAGGATGGAGCAGAAGTTTATATTGTTTTTCAATAAGTTGTGTTTAAACACACGACTTCATTTCACACATGACAAACTTATTATATTGATATTCTGAAAAGTGACATTTCAGTGTGTCTTTCTATATAATTTGTGTGGATTTTAAATGTTTTTACATTAAAAGTGAAAATGAAAATGCATTGTTATTTGATGTTCTTTGTTTTCGGTTAAGAAGAAAAACACTGTACAGAGAGCAAAAAAGATGTGTGCCATTTATGGTGATGGTGCCATAACTGAGAGTACTGTTCATAAGTATTTACACTATATGATTTGGGCTGTTGTCCTCATCTTTATTGCCATATTCACAAATTTTGTCTGTTGTACACTCTGACCTTCTTCAGGTGATATGCATAGGAATTTCAAACTGAACCATTTATTTAGTCCATGGGGGTAGATTTTTTTAGTCCATGGGGGTAGATTTTTTTTCCATGTGCCATGCCTTTTTTGGATAGCTCAGTTTCAGTTAATTCTATTTTAGTAAATCAATTCAACTTTTTGTTTTCTCTGATGTGGCCAGGTATTGAACTTACAAGTCTTTGGATCAAGTCACTTTTTCTATCACTCAACCATGGCCCAGTAGATAAAACTGATAAAAATAATCCAGGTCACATGACACGGGACATCATAGAGATACTTCACATATCTTATATGAGTTTTTTAAGGCACTTGAAAACACTTCAATGATTTGCTAAAATATTTAGATGCCTCACAATTTAATACAAAAAGAAATTAATATAGTATATTTCCATCTGTGAATCTTTGTTCAAACACAACAAAATAATGACTGCAAGTGATAAAAAATGAATTGTTTGCAACAATATAGAGTGAAATAAATCTTGAGGTAAATGAAATGAGTCACTGTTAATTACTCTAAAAGCTGGACTGCATTCAACGAAGGTGATAAAGTGTATCTGATGAAATTAAAAGGACATTGTATATTATAAACCCTTTCTACAAAATCAAATTGATTAATTGGGAGGTTATCATCTTTCATCAGGACAACAATAGACTTCACATCTCTTAGCAAACCCAGAACAAATTGATACACCTTGGCTGGAATATCTTACTACATCTGCCATACTCACCTGATTTTGCAACTTCAAATTATCAATTATTTTGACTTAAATAAAATTATCTTTTAATGAGAACTATTTCAATTTTCTGGAAGTGTGTAAAAACTATTCAGATTAGTTCATCAACCAGAAAAATACCAAGTTCTGGGAGGATGCAACCGTGAAACCACCTCAAAGATGGTAAATACTAGTGGAACAAAAAACTTGAAGTAATTTCTGTACAAATATCAAAATACTGTTTATGAAATTCACTTAAAAAAAAAGAAAATCAATAAACTTTTGCCCAAACCTGTGTGTGTCAGTCTGACATGTTTTACAATTTAAAAATATTTTTTTTTGCACTCTGTTTTTTATTACTTTCAGATATAACCACTGATTCATAATATTAACAGATAAGCTGTAATGAAATATCAGGATTTTAAATGTATCCTAGATTGACATGTATACTGTTTAGATCAAAAGTTTCGCCATAATGTTACACTATTTAGCTATGGTAAGTGATTAGCTAATTAACCATAAAAATTAAACAAGAAAATACTAAGAATGGAAAAGAAGATACCCTGAGATTTTATTTTTACTTTAAAAAAAAAAAAAAAGGTTGCTTTTCTCAAGAACCCAAGACTCATAAAAAGCCTATATGGCAAGCTTTTGACAATTGATTAATGATGTTTGTAAAAGGAAAACATGAGAATCAGAAGTGTCTAAGATATCATTTGAAGTTGTGAGATTTTAGAAGTTGGCCAGACGATGGGCCATATGTTGATTGTAAGAATTTTTTGGCATGGGAAGATGTTCCGAGAAATATGTCATTCAAATGGAAAGATTTTAATTTTTACTTTCCCAAGAAACCGAGAATTGGCATAAGCGATAAATTTACAAAAAGCCATGTGACAAGCTTTTGACAATTAATTTATGATGATTGTAAAGAAAACACGAAATAACCAAAGAGCGTCTGAGATATCATTTGAAATCACCAGATTTTATAAGTTGGCCAAGTTATGGGGGCCAGATGTTGTTCGTAAGTTGAAAAAAAGGAATTTCATAAACAACGTTGATAGTTTTGGAATTTAGAAATTCTGAATAAAGAGGGTTGAAGCAAGCTTAGCTACACCCGCATGACTGAGACGCCATTGGATAGTGGTAGCAATGGTGATAGGCAGAGGTAAATTGGTAAGAAAGACGGAGAAATTATTAGCGCCCACCGAAAAGATTTGGTATGAGGTACCAATGTGAGAAGGAGGGAGTTTATGAGGATAGCTATCCTGCAACCTCCTCACAGATGAAGGACCCCCCCCAAATTGAAAGTAATTAATTTTTCAAAATGGGAAGAAACCAATTTTCCTAGATGGACAACAAAGAGGTTTCTTGTCAGAAATCAGGAATTACCAATAACCCCAAGCTGCGTCTAGCCCCCCGCCCCACAGTTTTTGGTCAAAGTCCATATAAACAAGCACCCTCAGTTCGCCAGTGAGTTCAGGAAGTAGAATTTGGAATTGGGGTCAGTTCTTTTATTTTTTTTTTTTTTTTTTTTTTTTTTTACATTTGTGTGATGCCACCTGCAGTTTACTCATCTAGTGTCGGACCGGTTGCATCTGGTGTGAAGTCATTAGAATCGACCAACCATCTCATTTGGTACCCTGACCAAAGGATCCTGCTGGGTAGTGCCGATCGCCAATCAACCAAGTCATATATTGGTGGCAGCGACTAAGAGTCAGCCTCAAAATGCTGGTAGGAGAATTATCACAGCTTCAATCTTGACCCCCGGGCCGACAGCATTGTGTCACAATAATTTCCAAATTCATTTATATTTTGAAATACTTCAAGTTTAACAGGTTGGATAGTTAGAAAATTTAAAAAAAAAAGAATTAATTCATATAGGATTTGTACAAGTTTTACAAAAGAAAATGATAGAACTGAAATTGTGCAGTATTAGGGCTCATATGGGAATTTAATATTTGAGCATGCCCTTTTTTCTTGCTTTCTCAACCACAAAATGTTTCTTTTAAATAAAATTGAATGTTACATAGTATGAAGCTTTCAGCATATATATATATATATATAAAAAAGAAGTAATGGATTTTTTTATTTATTAATCTATATTTTATCACTCAAATGTTATTTTTAGTGGATTCTGAATATTTGAAAAATCTTAAAGATAAACCCTGGTGCATACAGGGGTGGGGATAATATTTCACTAAAATAGCCTGAATTATTTTAGTACATGTCTACAAAAATAGCAAATTTCCTTACTGGGCAAGTGGTATCATGAAATTTCTTTGAAAGTATTATTGTATCCATGAGATGTTTGATATTTGTATATTTTTAGTCCTCTCCCTTGGCAAGAAGTAAAAGGCTGTGGATGATCCCAATAAGGAATTGTTGTGGTTTCTGACCCCCTTTTTTTTTTCTCTCTCTTTCTTTAACATTTTATTCATTTTTCTGTGATGTGTTGTCATGCAGTTTTCCCAGTTTAACGTTTGTTTTAGAATTGAAAGTTCTTCATTTGACTTTTGAAGTTCCCTGGAGACCTGTGTAGGTGCGGATGTGTCCACACAGGTCTGCAGTGTGAAAGAGAGTAGTGTCCTACAAAAATACCATATGAGTAAAAGTGTACTTAACCCCCTTCTATGCCTCTGCCCTATTTTGCTTCTATGGTCTATCTTATGTTTAGTATTATGCATTTGTTTATTGCAGGTGTCCCGTGATGAGGCCATTGCTATACTAAGACAGGATGTTGTAGAAAAGTTACAAGGTAAGCAATTATTGAACTCATCACTATTCAAGATTTATTCTTTCACATCAGTTCAACACCAAATGCAAATTGTATTCAAACTTGAAACAGACTGCACATGTGCATAGATGAAGGATACAACCAACTCATTTCATGTATTGTTTTGGATTATTTGTTTATATAATCTTTTATTTAGATTCCTTAAGGTTTCTCCTATGTATTTTTTTGTGATAATTATAACAAGTGATCAAGTAAATACCTCCTTTGTTTTAGATTATGGTTTTGGGACATTTTACAAAACAGTTCTATATCTATCTATCTCTGTCTGTCTCTCTCATATACATACACACACACATGCATGTACAGTCACAAACATAAAGATCAGAACGATGTTAAAAAAAAGTCTAAATATGAAATACTTTTTATTTTAAAGCTTCAAAGAACATTTTATGAAGGAAAAATAAGGATATAAAGGTAAATTATATAATTCCAAAATATAAAGCTCAATAAACTTATTTTGATAAAGTTATAAGAATAATTATATAACATTAAAAAAAGAAAATAGATGATCAAAAGCATCTGCTCATTGATAGCAGAATGATGTTCTAGTGGTAGGAGGTTCTTTGCAGGGGCTGGAGTAGAAAGAGATGTTGACAGACACTACAGCATGATCAGAGCTGCATGGTGCTACAGGACTCGAGGATAGAGGTAAAACATAGATTGAGAAGAGAAGCCTTACCATCCAGGTTGTAGGGAAAACATGTGAGGAAGTCAACTATTTGTGTGAGGGATTGAGAAATTGAAAAATTAAGGGTTTGTATGCCTGCAAGGTCAGTAGTAGCATTTTTAAGCCACTTGGTGTGATGGGCATTAAAATCACCAAATACAAATATGTGAGCAAATGGATGGAGAGAGAGAGAGCCTTGTCAGTGTGGTCAGAAATGCATTCGATTACACCACAGTCTTGGGAGGATGGTGAGCGATAAAGGAAGAAGAGGTAGCTTACAGCATTGAGAAGAGATAGCCAGAGACACATGTATGAATGGCCTGGAGATTCAAGAGACAACTCTAGCCAGCGGGAGATGGTCCTTGACATAAACTCCAAGGCCATGTATGTGGGTTTAAGAGTCTTTTCTAAGGAGGGGAAGGTAGCCAGGGATCAAGAGGTCAGAGGTGGGGATAGATGAGTCAAGGTTGGTCTCACTGAGAGCCAGTATTTCCAGGCAGTTTGCAATGAGGAAAGATTCCACACTGCAGAAATTGTTTCTAATGCCACAGATGTTAGAAAAGGAAATGTTAAAGGGTTTAGGTGATTTCTTTAAGGGCTGGTTTAGGTTTTCTTCTTGGATTGTCATTAGTTATCATGATGTGTAATTACAGTAGTAAAAATGAGAAGGTCTGAAGTAGAAGAAGCAGACTGTTATTGACTATGACATGGACAGAGAGAAGTTGGTGCAGCCTGCAACATAATGTGGCCTCAGGGTTGCCCATCAAAGGTGAATGCAGGGACACCTTTCCATGCGCGACATGGCACTACAAACACCCCGGTATTATGCAACTGTTGATCAGAGCAGCCACTCAAAACGCTATGCAAGAGTTAGGGCTTCTGACTACCAGTCAGAAACAGCAACCAGAAAACTGTCAGCTATGTACCCTCAGAATGAAGAGGCATTGCCACAGACTGCACACATCACAGGAGAAACATGGCAACACTAGTACAGAGGCCAGAGAGGAAGAGTTCTGGGAATCCCTTCCTAAACAAGAAACAAGGTGTAAGCCTCTACTCTTGTCCAAGAGAAGGGAGAGGAGTATTGACCAGATGGTAAGAAAGCCTACCTACTCCTATTGAATACACACACACACAAAAAAAAGGGCCACAGCTGACAAGAAGTCCAAGCTGACAGATGGGGATGGGATTTTATTTTTATTTTTCCCTTCCATTACATTAAGTTTTAACTTAGTATAAGTCCCATTGTCCTATCCTAAAAACAAATTTGGTTATCCAGCATTGTGGATATGGCATATAATTCTACTTACATATGGCAGCTGGTGTTCACTTTCCATTCTCATGGTCAGTTAGTGAATTGTTGCATGACTTTTTATCACCAACCCTTTATGTTTCAAGGAACGTAGATGACCTTGCACTCATGACACTCTAGACATTTTTCTTGTAGTGAATTGTTTTCTTTGATCAGAATAGCATTTTTATGTCAAAATTGTGGCCAATCTTGTTACTATGGTTAAATGTCCCAAAACAATAAGAAAACATTTGTTTCGATTTAGCAATCATTTTCTAGGCTGTCAAAATAAATCAAACTAATAAAATTGGGTCATATTAGATAATATTCCTTATGAGCTGGTGGCAGAGAGGTACATAGTATAAAATGAGACTGATATGAGGTCATCTAATAAAAATCTTTGCTGAAAACATTAAATAAATTTCAAGTATTCTTTTGAATGTGAGTTTGTGTATTCATAATACACAAACTTCTTTTATCATAAGCACCCACCAGAGAGTGAAAAAGTGTCTTTTACATCCTCATTTGCAAAAAGCCCCTAAAATCACACACACACTTACTGATATTAATGAAGTTCAGAAATGAATAAACAATAATTTTACATATTAAAGATTTAGTCTTGTTTTCTTATTAGTCTGTACAATGATAATGTTACACATTTAGGTCCTTTTGTTTACCTGAACTATTGTTGGTAACGGACAATTTTGCTACCAGTGTTTTCACTGCCAGATTTCATCTAGAAGAGATAAACTGATACTATAATAGTTATGTAGATCTAAGCAACTGGGTAACTTTGTTTGTTTAATAGATAACTTGCCAAATTGTTTTAAGAGGTGGAAAAGTTTATATATAAGATGTAGATGTAACATTTTTAGCATTAATGCCATGGAAGTGCAGAACTTGTGCCATTTGAGTAAAAAAAAGTTGAAAATAAATTCTGATTTAAAAAAGAAAAGTTTTTGGTTAAAAAAGAAGAATGATATTGAGTGAGTAAAAAGCAAAGATGAAAGTTGCTTTGAAAAGATTGAATGTAGTTTAATTGAAAAGTAGAAAAAATAAGAGAAATTCCACTGATTTTGTGAAAATCTAAAATTATTCTATCCACTTTTCACATGAATATTTGTTGTTTTAATAAAGTGTTTCAGCAGATTCATTCTTTGGCTTTCTACAGTTGAATGTAGCATTGAGCAGTCATTAAACACTTTGGTTTTGTTTTTCATCTTCTCAATAATTAACTTATAGTTAAAGGAAGTTAATGGAAGTTAATGAGTGCCATGTCTTATTTAAGCAGAACTATCAAGAGAAACTTGGAAACCTATCTCTTCTTATCAGGTAACTGGACTTGTGTAGTACATGAAAATGTGGAATAAGGCAAATATTTAATCTCAGACAATCATAAAGCAGTTTTGTATCTATGTTTAAAAAAAAAATTGACATTTTTTAAAATCTTTGAACTCCAAAAGGAAATTGGAAAAAAAATTACATGTCATGAAAAATATCTTATATATACAAGTATTTCAGCTTTCTTTTTTACATATTAATCAATTTAATCCTTAGTCAGAATCCCCCCTCTATACTGGAAAGTGTGATAACAGCTACTGGACTTGAGAAACCGATTTTCATGAAAAATTGTTTTACAAGAAAGATTTTATAAATTTCAACTGAAAATAGTACTGACTGCTCAGTCTATGAATGCCTTATAGGGAAACATCTAATATTACCATTATGAATCTGCTCTGCAAAATGTTTGTCAATTTCCCTGTCTGGCACAATTATTAGAATTGTGACCTACTGAACATACATGGGACATGATGGGGCAATGCCTGACTCATTCAGTTACCCCACCTACAACTCTTGCTCAATTGCAAGAAGTATACAATAATGTATTACAGTATAGTATTAACCATCTGTACAATTGTATGCATAAAAGATTGTGTTACTGCCCAAGGAGGATATACATTGTATTAATATTGAATCTGAGGATTATTGATATATGTCTTACTTTGGCACCTGTACCTGTATTGATCTTTATATGTAATCATTGATTGTAATCCAGCTCTGTTACCTGTATATTTAATCTTGAGTAAAGTGTTTCAATTATTATTTTCTGTCAGTGTGTGCATGCACACACATGCTTATAAGCTGACTTGCTGCAGAATCTACGATCATGGAAGTGTTGAACAGATTTAGAATTTGTCCCCTTTGACCTTAAGGACATTACCGATAAAATGAATTCTACATAAATACTGCATGTGATACTCTGAAAATTCACAAAGAGGAAAAAAATTTTGCTTTTTAAATTTGCTCAGTTCAGTCCAACAAAATGGGATTTGTCGGGGTGACATTCATATAAAATATAAGATCTTTTTAATGCCAGTTGAGTTTGCTAAAAGGAAATCAAGGGGCGGGGGAAATCATGCATAACATGCATTTGTTTTGATTTAGCAATCATGTTTTTGGCTGTCAGAATAAATCAAATTAATAAAGTCAAGTAATATTAGATAATACTCTTTGAGTGGCCTGAGCTGGTGGCAGGGAGGGAAAGTGTAAAATTATACTGATATGAGGGTCATTTAATAAAAATCTTTGCTGAAAACATTAAAGAAATTTCAGCTATCTTTTTGAATGTGAGTTTGTGTATTCATAACTATAATTAATATATAAAATAGCTGATCACTCGTATTTGAGGATACTCATCTATTAGGGCAGCTAGCCAATCCCTATTGTAGATGCTTACTAAGGCACATTTGTGATTGTTCAACACCCACAGAGCCCACTTGTGGTTTATACTGTAAGAAAAAAAGACAATATGAAAACTGTATTTTAGTAGATGCTTTTCATCCAGTGTGGACTTTTTCAAGGCAAAAAATGAAATAAATTTATTGCAACAAAGTATCTATAAACAACAAACAAAATTTTGTTAGCAACTAAAAGAATTTAAAAATGCTATTGTATATTCATATGGTCAGCTGAAAAATTACATCAATTACTTTGTTTGGAGAA